ATTATGTCATCTTGGTCATTACTCACACAATTTTAAAATGTACCAACACATATATAAAACCACAGAGGAACACTCATGTTCATTAATTACATTTTAACACTTTACTCTGGTGGAGGTAACACTGAATTAGATTACATCAGATTACATCAGATTAAATCTGTTGAAATCAAATTGAATCAGATTTAGTCGGTTTAGATCAGTTTGAATCAGGTTCAATTAGAATAAATCAGACTGTATCAATGTGAATCAGATTCAATCAGTTTAAATCAGTTTGATTTACATTAAATCGGTTCAAATTTGGGCTGCTTGATTATGGTAAAAATCATCATAATAATAATCATTGAGTTTGGAAACACAACACATCTATTAAACTTTGAAGAATAATGAATGTCTTAATGTAAACAGATTAGAGTGTCTACACTGAGTGAGCAGGGAAGGACTTCTGTCTGCAGGAGTGTGTGTGTGTCTGTGTATGTGTCTTCTCATCTCTGTCGCTCTTCAATCAAAGTGACAATCACATTTATATCTTTATTAATTTATGATGTAGAATCATGAATCTGGATCGTTCTGGTCACTTTAACCCTGATGTCCTGACTGTTTACACCACATCTCGTGTTGTGTATCTAAATGTTGGACTTTTTTTCCATGTGTTTAAATACGTGTCTCGATCAAAAAAACACAAAGTAAACTTCGGTTCAGGTCCTAATAATTTGTGATGAGTTATGGTGTTTATTGTTAACGTATAAAGTGCAGGTAAGCAGGAGTGAGAAGGAAGGACATGCAGCAAGGTAACACGGTCCAATACAAAGACACCCAGCCTATAATGTGCATCTGCCACAATCCTGAAGCAGCTGTGATAATAATCTTTCAGCGGTGGCCCGCTGTAGTGTCCTGGCATTTAATTGAGAATATAACCCGACTTTTATTTGAAGAAATACAGTCTTTATACCAGAAACCTCATATTGTAGCACCTCTTCAGACACGCAGCAGAAACACTGCCTGTGTGAAAAACAGACAGCCGCAACACACAGCAGAAGTGTAGCGCAGAACTGCAATGCTCATGCAGGCAGTTTGGCATCATAAGGAAAAACAAAACTAGATCTCAGGTTAGATGATTAGTTTGTTTTTTTCAATTCAATTAATAACTCAGCCCTAATTTAAATCAGGTTAAATCTGATAAATAAATTGGTGTGAATCAGATTAAATCAGTTGAAATCAGATTAGATCAGATTAAAACTGGGTTAGGGTTAGCCCTTAAGATAAAACATAT